TAGCCGTGTTAGTCTGGATCTGTAAAAGCAGCAAAGAGTCCTGTGGCACCTTATAGACTAACAGATGTATTGGAGCATGAGTTTTCGTGGGTGAATACCCACTTCATCAGATGCATGTAGTCTGGATGCATCTTTATGGATATGTAGACTCTCTACTCAGACCCTACGCCACCAGCACTCCCAGCTATCTCCATGACACCACTGATTTCCTGAGAAAACTACAATGCATTGGTGACCTTCCAGAAAACACCATCCTAGCCACCATGGATGTAGAGGCTCTCTACACAAACATCCCACACACAGATGGAATACAAGCTGTCAGGAACAGTATCCCTGATGATGCCACAGCACAACTGGTTGCTGAGCTCTGACTTTATCCTCACACACAACTATTTCAAACTTGATGACAATATATACCTCCAGACCAGTGGCACCGCTATGGGCACCCGCATGGCCCCACAATATGCCAACATTTTTATGGCTGACCTGGAACAGCGCTTCCTCTGCTCTCGTCCACTCACGCCCCTTCTCTACCTACGCTACATTGATAACCTCTTCATCATCTGGACCCATGGGAAGGAGACTCTGGAAAAATTCCACCACGATTTCAACAGCTTCCACCCCACCATCAACCTCAGCCTGGACCAGTCTACACGGGAGGTCCACTTCCTAGACACCACCCTATACCGAAAACCCACCGACCGCTATGCCTACCTTCATGCCTCCAGCTTCCATCCTGGACACACCACACGATCCATTGTCTACAGCCAAGCACTGAGATACAACCGTATCTGCTCCAACCCCTCAGACAGAGACCAACACCTACAACATCTTCACCAAGCATTCTCAAAACTACGATACCCGCACGAGGAAATAAGGAAACAGATCAACAGAGCCAGATGTGTACCCAGAAGCCTCCTACTGCAAGATGAGCCCAAGAAAGAAACCAACAGAACTCCACTGGCCATGACATACAGTCCCCAGCTAAAACGTCTCCAATGCATCATCAGTGATCTACAACCCATCCTGGACAATGATCCCTCGCTTTCACAGGCCTTGGGTGGCAGGCCAGTCCTCGCCCACAGACAACCCGCCAACCTGAAGCATATTCTCACCAGTAACTACACACCGCACCATAGTAACTCTAATTCAGGAACCAATCCATGCAACAAACCCCAATACCAACTCTGCCCACATATCTACATCAGCGACACCATCACAGGACCTAACCAGATCAGCCACACCATCACCGGTTCATTCACCTGCACGTCCACCAATGTAATATACGCCATCATATGCCAGCAATGCCCCTCTGCTATGTACATCGGCCAAACTTGGACAGTCCCTACGTAAAAGGATAAATGGACACAAATCAGATATTAGGAATGGCAATATACAAAAACCTGTAGGAGAACACTTCAATCTCCTTGGACACACAATAGCAGATTTGAAGGTAGCCATCCTGCAGCAAAAAATCTTCAGGACCAGACTTCAAAGAGAAACTGCTGAGCTTCAGTTTATTTGCAAATTTGACACCATCCGCTCAGGATTAAACAAAGACTATGAATGGCTAGCCAACTACAAAAGCAGTTTCTCCTCCCTTGGTGTTCACACCTCAACTGCTAGAAGAGGGCCTCATCCTCCCTGATTGAACTAACCTCGTTGTCTCTAGACTGATTCACTCTTGCTTACATATTTATACCTGCCTCTGGCAATTTCCACTACACGCATCTGACGAAGTGGGTATTCACCCACGAAAGCTCATGCTCCAATACGTCTGTTAGACTATAAGGTGCCACAGGACTCTTTGCTGTTTTTAAATAGTGATTGTCAGTCCAAGTCGCACAGTGCATACAAGCTTTCTCGTTTAAACTTCTGTCTTTATAAAATCAAGTTCTAAATCAGAACTTTTCTATGAAGTCATCCAGAACTTAGGCTCCAATGCTACAAGCTGTTCTGTGCAGAGCAACTTGCAGGATTAGGGCTGTAGTTTTAAGTACTTAAATAATTGAATTAAAGAATATAGACAAATCTTAAATGTAAAGAGCACCTTTCATTCTGAAGGATCCTAAAGTACTACATGAACAACATCATGCTATTCTTACATATAAAAAAAAATTGTGAAAGTGTATGTAATATATACTGTGGTGTAAAGATTTTTATAGATGAGAATGTGGGGTGCCTATATTATGATTGGCTTTGCAATTCCTGAGTTAGAGATCCTCCCAAATAAGTATTAATAAGAAACAAATTTCTACACCAGCGTCTTATGCCAAATGTTACTGAAAAGCTTGAAATTTTTTTTAAATGTTGGGATTTACCTGCCTGGATGAACAAGGATCCCGTACTACAGTGAGTTCAACAGTACACGTTATGGATGGAGAGAGAAAATTCTAACAAATTTTAGAGACCCTATTGAAAAAAAATACCTAAAATAGCACTTCCATATATTACATTGTCATAAATTGTAAGACTTGGTATCTCAAGATTTTCCATGTCTAGAACCCAGAGCATTGTCAATTCAGAATGCAGAGTTGGGGGTATGGGGGAAATCTACCTTGTCATTTAACTGTCTTACTCTTGAAAGACTGCTATTTCACTTAATTGTATTATAGGTGATCACAGACATCAATAAGAAAAGACGGCGTTTGCTGGAAGTTAGAGAAGAACTAATTTGGTAAGTTTCCATTTGCTGAAATGTATAGTGATTATACTGATTGAAAGCATACAATAATAGGCTATCAGTGGAAATTGAGGAGTCCTGTTACTGTCCAGAAAATCTAAGGTAACTCTTGTTTTTGTCATTAACTGACTTTCTTTGTGTAAATAGCAGATGAAACATTTACGGCCTGCACCAGCTGAAAATATGAATTCCTTCCTATTTGCAAAAGCTAAAATTAACCACTCCATCTCCACAGGAGTTGTGGAACTGCCTAATAGAAACAGGGAGTCATTTTCACAAACTATCTCCAGCTACTCTAAATTCTTGGGATAATGTCTGCCAGTTGGGCTACACATTCCATAAGAAATACACCAGCTGCATGACTGGAGGTGAGAACATGATCAGATAAAATTTAAGTAGTCTTAACCTAACATACTCTGAACGTGCAACTGTGTGTGTGGCATTGTTCCCACCCCCAGTATAGCTCACCTTAATCTTGCTGGGTAAACTTCCTGATTCCCTTAATAGAACTCAGCCTTGAACATGTGCAATACATTCTGATTTTAACTGCCCCTACAGGGGTAGGATATTTCCCAAGATAGTACATGCAGCAGTCTGGTGTGGTGGAGTCACAGAATGCCTAATGCCATATTCCATTACTATAAGATATTTCTCAAAATAGAGGAAGAATACTGTTGGCTGTATTTTACTTAAATGTTATGTGTGAGTCTATTTTAAATTGTACACCTTGGCAAAAGCCATCTCCTAGAATCCCCTTGATCACAAATGTGATTGCTGGATTCCTGTCAGAAGAATTATTGTATTATTGACAAGATTAAATGTGTCCTTATTAGATAAAAACTTAGCAATATGGTCCTTTAAATTGTGCATACTGTTTATTAATTAGTTACCAAAGATTTATCCTAATTGTAAAATGCAGACAGTGCAACAGCCTGGTATTTTTCTCACTTTTATGACCCCATTAAGTCATGTTCAGTAGAAACGGTACATTCAAAGTAACTCCTGAAAGAAAAAAATTCACAACACAATCCTTAAGCATTGATGGTTTTTAAGGACTGGGCCACAACTGAAGCAACTACAAAGAGAATATGCTGAACTACAAGAGAGAGAATCTTCTCTCAGGAACGCAACCCAGTTCCTAACTGATTTAAAGGAGGTGCAGCAACAGTATATAAATTGCAGAGAAGACCACCCACAAGAAAAAGTAGTTGTAAGTACATCTTGATTCTACGACGTTGCACTAGCTAATTCAAGTTTTGTCTCTTTAGGAGAAGAAACTAAATGATGATTCAGGGCAGACAGCAATATCATTATGTTGGTGTCTGTCAAGGCCTTGTACAGCATGGCAAAAACTTCAGTGCTGTTCTATCCAGGACACACATGTAGTGTACTATTTTTTAAAAGTTCAGTGAGAAACAAAGTAAATTTATTTTCTTATTTAATATAGATGTAGGTCAAACCCTGGTGCCCAGGAACTTCCCTACATACAAGATGGTAGTGTTTGCTAACTTTCAAACCTCACAGTGAATTTTGTAACCCTCTTTAATGCTCAAACGTCTATTCAGCAGCATAGCACTGACAGTGAGCTTCTCAAATATGTACTTTAAGTAGTGTAGGAGACCTGTACAGGAATTGTGTCATGGCCTGGAATACACTCTCCTCGGGCAATGCTGACCTCCCAATCTAAGGAAGCCGTCCACTTTAGGACATACTATCTGCTTATGCTTAGTATAGCCAAACTTTAACTTGACTTAAAGATGCAGAATAGAACATTTGAAGAGAGTGACATCAAATTATAATCCACTCTTTCAAATATGTCAAGTATGAGAGACTTGGGATAATAGGCAAGTAATTGGCCAATGTTTGTTTTCAAAGAGTTAAAAGTAAAGCCTTGTAATTTTTTTCCTCCAACAACAGTACGGAACTTCCAGCATTCCTGCTCTTCTGGTGGAATCTCAACTAATTTTAAGAGCTGAAAGTCATTTTCAAAATATCAGCACAAGATTACAAGAGGTTCTGAATTTGCAGAAAAAGGAGCTGCCAGAGAAATTTTAAATGCTTTATACAATATACCTTCTTGCAACTAAGCATAGTTAACATCAGTTAAGTGTATTCATATACTTAATGTTTATGACATTCCTGTTCCATTTAGATTTTGTATTTGCACTCTAACTTCTGATAACAGAAGCAGCAATTATTTAAATACTACCATATGCATTTAATAAAACAAAGCAATGTGTTTAAATTGCTTCTGACTTTAAATCTTTCACCTCTATAAATAAGTGATATGCGCCTCTTGTGAGAAAAGTTGATATGTTTCTAAAGATTTACTAACAATTGTGAAGGGAACGTGTGGTTTTTCACTTAAATGTTCAACTCAAACTTACTATACATCAGTGTGCTACCTCATACATAGCGTGCGTGGCAGCCTGGAGTAGAGAGTATGACAAATCATTAATGATCTCAATGAATCAGTGATAAATCTAGCGCTTTAAAAGTAATAGGATTTTATTATTGGATTGCCAGAGTAATCATTTGGAAATACCAAAGTGACAAGAGTAGACATTTTCTTTAGAATGAGCAATAACGGGTTTTTCACTAAATATCAGTTGTAATTCCAACTAAAGTAGCATAAAGATAGGCTTGTAACAGGCAACTTACAAATAGACATGTCTAAATTCTTAGCAGTGGCTTCCATAAATTATTGCATCATTCTATGAGTAATGAATACAATATTTCTAAAACTAGTATGTAGATTTTTAAAAACAACTTAGTTGTAACAAGTCATACAGAAGGTGGTGAGCATAATGAAATTCTCAAAAGGTAAATGCACACTTTAGATAAAAAGGCCCACTTATAGGTAAGAGATCCTACCTGCCCTTTGTAAAGTAACAAAGTACAGTACAGACTGTAGGCAAAATCCTAAACATTTGGACATATATGGGAAGAAACATGTTTTAACCACACTTCATCCCTCACCTCAGTAAGTGAATTTTATCTGAATCATTGTCCATGAAGTTTTTTGAGTGTTGACACTGTCCACTTAGCATCTTTTTGAATTTAGTGCTCCTGAGAAGTACCAGCTTGATAGCCTGTGTCTAGCTTTAGAACACTGCACAACACCGGTACCACGAGGGTAAACTGATCTACCTGGGTCTTCCATGGCGCTTCTTTCCTGTCCAGGAGCAGCTACTTCTAGGGGTGAGAGGATAGTTCAGTTTCTGTAGCTATTCAGTCCTTGGCCTCTGCAAAGAGAGAGGGTGGCTTTTGTGCCATATGCACCACTCCAGGCTGCAGGTGGCAAAACCACCATTGACTAAGCTAGAATTTTAAAGCAAAAATTAAAGGTGAGATTTACATGGTTTAATAGGATAGCATTAACATATAAACCGAATGTACAAAAACACAGCTAATGGCAAGTTTACTATGCACTTTCATATAAAGAGAGGATGCTGGCATAGTTCTATCAGTTGCTTTTGGCAGTGTAAACAGGACTTCTGACAAACTTTGGCTTTATATAATGTGCTAACTCAACTATATCTTAATGAATCTAAACAGCTGACCTTAGCTGATAGCTAGTTGTATACTTTGTTACCACAAACTTCTTAAAACCTCTGAGCAGCTCATCGGGTATTTCTTCCAGGTCACAGTTCTGCTTGGTCAGACTTTTGTCTGCAGCTTCTACAAGTTCAGCATCCTCAATAGCTTCCAGAAAATAGGCCTCATCAGTCACATTGTCCCATTCTGTATTTGAACAGAGCTTGTCAGGAGACTCCTTATTTTCTTGACGTATCCTTAATGATGTGCTTTCTGAGAAGTCTGTAAGGTTAGGTGATTTTGCTTTTTCTTCTATGTTCCCACACTCATCCATAAAAAGTACATATTCTTCCTTTAAAAAAAACAAAATTACTTATTCAACATGTAAATGTTCATTATTTCTGGGGGGAGATCTTATTGTTGGCTTCATAATGGGAGCAGAGTTAGGCTAAGGCTGAGCACTTTTGAAAATGTCACCTCTAATGAACACTGTGTAGGTCAGCTGGCAAGGCAAGTTTCTTGTGTTTTTTGGATTGTGAGCATTTACCAAACAGCTAAACCCTAATTTTATGAAAGTCAGTTTTCAATAGGACCAAAATTTAGTTCTTAAAAGCAGTGCCTTGTAACTGGCAAGCTTTTAAAATCATGCTGCAAGAGCGCACTACTGAGTTTGCTCTAGCTCATCTGTAGGGAGATAACACATTTACACGCACACAGAGTACCTGTGTGGCCCTGCAAATGTCACATGAGCCATAGCTGTGTTCTGATTGGGCCACAAGTGGCCCAACGGCTGAGAACCACTGCTTGAAGTGGTAATGATTCGCTTACTAAGAATTTTTTGCTAAATAGGTGTAATTTACCAACAATTGGTTCTGCTTCAGATAGGACTTCATAAACTTACAGTACACAGATCAATAAACCATGAAAAGTTTGGTTGAGAGGTAATGCCAGCTATTGAAAAGCTGTTATCTATAAAGCTCAGGGTAGGGGTTGCTTGGCCAATAGTCTTCTCTACAAAGGTTGAATATTTACATTAAACATTTTTTATTGCTTTACTACACTACACCAAAGGATTTTTGTAAATGAAGATTAACTTCAGTCTTCAAAGTCAGTGACATTTAATTGCCATTTTAAAAATGTGAAGCAGTTGTTTCAGAATACTAAACCGCTAATGCTAAGACAATAGGATTTACAATTGACTATGTATTAACTATACTACCATCATATTGTGTGCGGCAAACACCAGTTGAAGTTTAACTTGGATTTGCCTAAGCATCAGAAAAATGGAAAACTGAATATTCTTTGAATCCTCCATGAAGTTTAAAGGTGTGACACTCATGTATCGGTCAGTTAGCGTAGATACAGCCAGAGAGATTAAAAGATCTTGTGCTAGACCACAAGGAAGAGATTTGCCTTAGTCTAAGTAAAATATTGGTAACCTTGCCTACAGCCAGTCTATATTACCACTTCTCCTGCTAGTACTCCTACCATCAAGGGAATTCTGAAATATTTGGGGCCCAATTATGCAGTCACTACACTTGATGAGTCCCATTGCCATCCATGGAACTACTCACAAGTGAGTAAAGATTGCACAATCAATCAGTCCCTTAGTGTAGGCAAGGCTTTTAAAGGGCTACCAGGGAGGACAGTTTGGAACACACTTGAGTTACCATTAAGCCTTTTCTCAGGGTTTGTTTTTTTTTTTTGTATGGAGAAAGGGGAAAGGAACAAAAAATACATACCTCTTTGAAAAGAAAAGGGAGACATATCTCAGGGGGTAATGGAATACCTAAATCAAATACACTGCATTTATATTTTGTTTAAAGTTATTGTTTCTGAAATGATTAAGTGTAATTTTATTGAAAACATACTTACTTTCTGATTTGAAGTTTTTAGCTCTGCAGACAGGGTCATAACATTTTTGATAGTAAACTTCTTTTTTTAGATCTACCAGAATCCTTAAAATACAGATGCAAGTGTTGGCTGGCACTTAAGAACAGAATTAGCTACATTATACACATAGGGCAAGGATTTCACCCAGAGAATGAAGACACTATCTCCTTCCTCTGTTTCTAAAATAGTCTTTGTACATGCACTCTGGCCCGTTCACAACTGAAATTACATATAATATGCAATGTAAAAAAAGAGGAAATACACAATCTTACTGTAAAATTTACAGTATCTTACATGTACAGGGTTTTGGTATGTTTCAAAGCCACAGTTTTGAAAGTGAGGTACAATTATCTTCAGGCTACATTAATTCTGAACAAAGATATACAAATCAACATCTTTTAAGGTAGTCTTATTTTCTAAGATAGTTATAAAATGTGAGTTAAAACCCTCCCTCTTGCAGTGAGTTTAATTAAAGCACTTGTACAAACTCTGGTACTTACTGCAAATCCAGGTTATGCAATTGTGTTATGGGACAAATCTTACCACATAATTTGATACTATACCATTTTAGCTGTGGTTGAATAGAATATTGTGCATCTCTTGCTGTTAAAAACAATCTAATAGTCATTCTTTTGAAAAACATTTACATTTAGAAATAGGATTCAAGTGGAAAGAGGTTTTTTTTTTTTTTTTAAAGCATGCATTTGGTTATTCTCACGGTCAATCTCTAGTCAAAATTGACAGTCTCCTCTTAACAGCCAATCAAATGACAATTTTTTAGGTTACAAATTCTAAATAACTTAAGTTAGTAAACTAAATATTGATGAGAGAGACTAAGTAAGATTAAGTAAACATTTTGAGTGAAATGCTGACCCCACTGAGGTCAGTACCTCCCATTATCCTCTGCCATTGGAACTAACTCCCTAAACAGGTATAAATGTATGTTCAGTTAAAGAGTAAACTGAACAAATTCTTTCCATTTCCAGTAAATAGCACCCAGTAAGGGTTGGGACTCTGTTGTACTAGGTGCTGTAAAAACACACTCCCTTCCCTGAACTGTTTTCTGTTCAAGCATTTCTGGATATTCTAGTTGCATAATGAAAAATTTCTTATTAAAAAGAAAATCTGAAACCTTTCAAAGTATAAGTGCCTATTAAATAAAACGTTTGTAGAGAATGCCACGTACATAAAGAACATACATTATATTGTTACTTTTGTGGGCTCTTCCAATATTTTTACACCAGCGATATCTGGATATGTCATAAACAAGGAGTTCTTCCAAGGAAAAATAATTCCATCGTCGTATCCCTGGAAAATTAAGTATATTTAAAAATTATTTATAACCGCTTGAGAGTATGTGTCTGTCACTTAAAAAAAAAAAAAAAAAAAAGGGTGGTGGTCTGTACCTCCATGATTATCTTCTTTATTAACTAAAGAAAGGACAAAACAATCAATTTCTGGATAGGGTGAATATTGATATCCTTCTATGGGATCTGTTTAAAAACACAAACACATGAGTTACTGTTACAGAGTATATAAACTCAAACAAAATAAAAATAAGTGTACTTGAATCTCACTAACAATGAAGGGCCTACTCCTAGTCCCATTACCATCAATAAAGCAGGACTGGGCCCAGTGTCTGACTGGTATACAGCTTGGAAAGCATTTTTCATTATAGAAGAAGTTGCCCTTGCTCAGGAACTCTGGAGCCAGATCCCTACTTTTGGGAATGGCAGGTTACAATTAACAATTAGCACATGCTCCTATACTTTGGAGATTGGTCAATGCTTACTAGTCCTGTGACCAAGAAAACTCATGTAACTTACTTTAGAAGGGTCTGTAGACCAGGGAAAGAGGCACACTCCTGCAAGCTCCCAATTTACTAGTGCATGAGTAACTAGATAGGCAGTCTCCCTGGGAAATGAAGGGCATACCCCCTGCAGGACTCAGCTAAAGGATATTGCCTAAATAAGCTGCAGCAGAAAGTTTCCACTGATGTATAAGAACAGCAGCCCAACAAGGATGCAGTTTATCAGATGTACAATTTGAGATATAGTCCATAATTAGATCGGGTGCACTGTATTACATATAGCAAATTAATGACAAACACTTACGATAAATTTTTCTATTCAGTAAAATCATATTCAAAAGATGGTTATGAAGTACCTGAAGTGCTACTGGCAACTCTCCCGTCTGTTTGTTTAGGCATTTTTTCCTTCCCTTCTGGGTTGTCACAAGTTAGGGCTCTTTCAATTTCTGAGAACCTAATGGAGAGACAAAGTGAGGAGAAATAAGTCATAATTCTCAGACTTCTGGACATACCATACTTACTTTTCACATTCACATGGCCCCTTTATTTCTTGTTCAGACATAAAGGATTCATTTTGACTTAGAATAATGACAGGTTTCAGAGTAGCAGCCGTGTTAGTCTGTATCCGCAAAAAGAACAGGAGTACTTGTGGCACCTTAGAGACTAACAAATTTATTAGAGCATAAGCTTTCGTGGGCTACAGCCCACTTCTTCGGATGCATA